ATTATATACCAATTATAATCACCATCATGATTAACATTATCATCATGAAAACAAATACACAGGAAATCCATCCACCACTTTTAGAACCGCTTTGGTCTCAAATTATAAAATAAGAATACAGTAGAATAAAAAGAGAAAAGATGGCGTGTATCAAAGGCATCTGAAAAGTGGTTTCTAATTGGAGATGCCCTTTTTTGAAAGAATCTACCTTAGAGAACCTGGACTTAATGATAATTGATAAAATTAACACAATAACTAGGCCTATTACAATAGTAAGATAATATATATCATCCTTGACATAGATATACCGCCTCCTTAATCATAAAACAGGTCTCTATCTGATAACATTTTATTAAATAACATTTTATTAAATTAATTTGATTCAACAGCAACAACATTATTATTAAGAGTTACTTAAAACATAATAACAAGGCTTTGTATTTTATGACTTACGCAATTAAATGTGCGAGTTAAATGTCTTTAAATTAAGAATACGATTTGGTGTAAAATAAAAATTGTTAACAGAATGAATTCCTAGTTTTGAATGTTCATAAATATCTTGAGAAACTTTTTATCGTAATATTATCAATCCCAGGCAGGCACATTAATTCAATTGTTTTATTTACCTGAAGAAGTGTGGAAACGAAAGAATATCAGATTGTCTCTACTAGTTTTGCTTTACTTATTGATCATCGGTCGATTGAAGAAGTAGTTGATAGAGAAAATAATTAAGCTATTACGTTTTGAACTGAGAGCTGAAACTTTTCAGTATTCTTAAGTCTACACACTTTATAATTTATAAGCTTTGTGATATGTGTCGCCTTTTCCATTTAGCGAATAATTGAGCAATTAAAACTGCCTTCTTCAAGACGTGGTAGTCAAATATTAACTTATCTAATCTCAATGAAATTTTAATAATACGTACATTACCACATCATTAAATTGCTTAGCAAATACATGTCCCGCACTCTTGACATACTTGTAAAGCCCCGGTGTATGTGCGACCATGACAACGATAAACAAGGATGTCGCGCACTGTTCACCTGTACTGGCATTTGAACCACATAAGGCGATTAGTACTCAACGACTGTAGAATAGTCGCATCAAAAGACAAGACACTGCTATTTCATTGCGAATACTTCGTTTACCATTGTAATGAAGAGGCGACACGCTTATTTGTTTCTTTTAAGTATATTGTCCATTGATTAAGATGGTAGCTTGGGTCGTCTACTCTCGCGTTACTATTTTGTACCCACCCCATTCTTTGAGGATGTATCTATAATTAAACGGTGCGGTTATTATTGTTAGTATGAAGCTCCCACGACGTCAACATGTTGAAATATCCGTCTACATTTAACTGGAATAAATAATTGTTGGAGCAGACATGGGTTCGGACCGTGTAGATCACATGCTTCGAATTGCGTAAGTATTAAAAACAACGTAATTAAGCCTAGCCCTATATAATTAGGCCTACACCTATCAATTTGTCTAAGTAGGCTACTCTGAGGAAGTCATGGTGATGAATAGACGAAATATTTGCTGGATAAAGAAAAGAAACGTGTTACGATGTTAGTTAAACAGTTTCATTTCTTATTTGACATACAAAATTCGTAGCATATGTAGAAACTAATGTGCACTTGAAGGAGGGCGAGTTGAAACTGTTGTGTTCTAACAACCTAAAAAGAACGGATAGGTCACAGGTATTGTTCTAAAAAAATTTAAGTTGGACACCACCTCATATTCAATATATAAAATACCGTACCAAGGCCATTGGTATCGTCTGTAAAGTAAAAAACATATTTCCTGTACATACACTAATAAGTTTATATAACGCCTTTAAGGCAATGTGTTTTATATCTAAATATCATCTCAGGCAATTATGTTTTATCGTCTCAATGATAAAACATAAATAAATAAATATATATGTATATATGTATGCCTATAAATGACATACGTCTACTCCTTAGTTTCAAATCTCCAGCCCATTGTTCAAATTTATTTATCTCTATCAATAATGTATATTTTCTTCCTTTAATTAAACACATCTAGGGCCTATGTTATAAGTATAAAACATGTACCGTATTTATTCGCATAAACGCCCCGGGGCCTTTATTGTTGAGGAACTACAACATAATTCTGTCAAAATGTGTTATTGCGTGATCCTAAACTTACTAATCCCAACCAGGTTGAAAAAATGTAATTCTACTGAAGTAGAATGTGTTGAGAATGATGTTGCTTCCTTTGGTCTTGTTTACTGTCATTTAGGTTGAGTTTGTTCGATAAAAAAAACAACGCCCAGCGGCGTTTATTCGAGGGAGGTGTTATTCCAAACAAGGCTCTGGAGGGGACGTTTTTTCAAAGCGGGGCGTATATTCGAAAAATTACTTCCACTTATATTGGACCATCGATAATATTCGTTTTTATTTTGGACTTAAATTCACGTGATAGGCCTGGAATGCTCCATAGTCCTACTGAATGAGAACAAAATCTGAAAATATAAAAGTAATACAGTAGTTTGAAAATTGTTTGTATGATTAATGAACAATGCGATATAGACTGGTAGGCAGTATGATTAATGAACAATGCGATATAGACTGGTAGGCAGTAGCTCTAAAATTGTTACGATAATAACGACATTGCATCCACACTTTCAAAATCTCAAACAGTGCGCAAACACGGTTCTTAACTAAAAGACATGTGTAGACCTGAGAACAGGATTTTTCTCCAAATAGACTGTTTTGACCATTAAAATGTAATATATCACTTGTATTAATTGTTTTTTAATATCTCTTTTCATCAATCTGGAATGCAAACTAATTTTTAATAACGAGTTATATTCCGATCTTAGACGTTTTCACAAATATCAATTAGTATTCGGTTCAAGCAAATAGATTCATTGAGTTTCATCTCTGTATAAACCGGTTAGTTCTAGGCATGACGTTTGCAAACTAAATAATATATACAATGATTTCTGAAAACATCACACTTCAGTGTACACAGGTGGGTGGACTGTGTACCTGCATCGCGTGTGACGCCGACTCATGAGTTCGATATTAAACATTAAGTACCGATTGATGCAAAATCTGCAAAGTAAATACACAAGCCTATAAATAGATTATCGCCTTGCATCTTTATCTTGCACTAAATGTAAAAAAAAATATAGGCTAATCTGAGTATAAAAAAAATCATCATCATCATAACCGCCTCCGCCACCGACGCCGCCGCCGCCACCACCACCGCCATGCTAATACCGGTTTATATTATCGGAAAGATGTAAGACAAAACAAGTATTGAGGTAAGTTATGTACTGTAATAATAATAGTAATAATAATAGTAATAATAATAATAGTAATAATAATAATAATAGTAATAATAATAATAGTAATAGTAATAATAGTAATAGTAATAATAGTAATAATAATAATAGTAATAATAATAATAATAATAATAATAACAACGTATTGAAAACCAACACTTGTAACGACGCCAGACGGAGAGATCTCTAAGAAAACACTATACTGTAATTGTAATATGATAATTGTTTTATCGTTGCAATAGAAATTAAAGGAAATCTGTGAATTAATAGGAAAACCATATGAATGCAGTTTGTAGTTTAATAAGTTTCAAAGTAAATTATAAATTCAACATTCACATTAAATCTACAGGCTGTTGTAAAGAGTGCCCTCTATCATATGAAGCTTTAAAGGGACAACCAAAACGTCATCAGCATTACTAATCTAATCCTCAACTTTAAATATAAATACAGTACAGTAATTTATACCAATATTTTCAGACCTTACTTGTGCTTAAAAGAAAATTAAGGTTCCTATCGAGATGTAGTACACACGTTACATTAAACGTAACGTTGTTACGTAGTTTACTTTATAATCTCTTCTTAGGAATACAGTAATTTTGTCAGATTCACGGTGATCTAACCACTAAACTAAGAGCATAAACTTCCAACACGGAAATAAAAACTACAATGGCCTACCGTTATCTCCGTATACAGTATTCTTAAAACACCCAAATTATTCATTTTTATTAATGTTCTATTTTTTCCGAATATTCCCATGTCCCATTGAAAATAAAAGGATTTCGTAGATTATATCTATCTGACTTTTATTACGTAGGCCTATCTACAGTTTATTTACAAAAAATGTACATTTTATTATTGTGATCTTTTAATGACCAGCTCCATAATATGAGGTATTTCGCAAGTATCTCTTGACTTTTGAAAATCTGTGTTTTCATTTTGCAAATACAATCAACTTAAAAGACTTCAACAATTAACTAAAATGATTTGATCGTATAATGAACTGTATGCAGTCATGACAACATAACAATCTCTTCAGTGTAAGTAATGGGATGCTGTGCAAACAAGATTTTGGTTTACCTTTAAGGAAGGACAATGACGACGCGACATTTCCGGTAGATCCGTCAATAGCGATTTGAAAGAAAATACACTGTCACATCGACATAAAGTTGTTTATAGTCAACGTTGTGAGGGTATGTGGCGTTGGATCTGATTCTAAATCTGATTTTGGAAACAATATTGAAAAAGAAAAGGCAACTATGGCTGGTGGTGGGTGTTTGCACGCTCCTCGATCTGCTGAGACGCTGGGTTCTGGTCTGCCGATCTTGGACGCATTGCGAAGTTCAGAAAGACATGATGTGCACCCACAAAGAACAACTGGAACTAGGTATGTCAATCTTAAGATGAGGACTGGTTCGTTAAAAAAAAATAGTATTTAGGAATGTTTCCTGACTGGGAAGTTTTGTAGGTACATATTTGCCATAAATCTACCATATCTTGTAGACTATCTAAGCATGAAGGAACGAATTAGCCGACTAAGGCCGGGTAACAGTTCTCTTTGAAAACTTCAAAGAATGTAATCGATGGAGGGATAGTGTGAAATCATCGATCAAAGAGATCCGTGTTTTGAATTCTGATTTTCACTACAATTAATGTCATCAAGGAAACTCAATAATTAATAATGAATTGTGTGTCTAATTAAAATTGAATGTTTGAAACATGCGTTAGACGTAAACTGTATTGATGTTTATAAGTGATTATCAATCACTATATTAAATACTTCATCTCCCCCCCCCCAACCCATTAAAGTGAGAGGGAGGGGAGTGATGATCTATGTGCACGAAACAGAGTGTAGGCTTATGCATAATTTAAGCCCACTCCCAGCAATAACAACGAATTCTTGTACTCTACATTTGCTTTTCAAGAGACTACTGTAAAAAAATCATTGGGTATTTATAGTCAATTTTTTTTTATAGGCTGTAGCTATGTCCCGGACGTAAGCATTTTATTGACATGTTGCTATACAGTACTTGAATTGGTTATTGTTAGGGTTTGTTAAACAGTCTACACAACATAGTTGGCTACCGCACCATGCGACTATCTTCTTTGGCTCATATAGGCCTAGGCCTACCGGTTATACCGTCTGAAGAAAATATCACAATAAAACATTGAATTGCCTAATATTTAAAATGATTGAATACTTTGTCGTCCAATGAGGAATACAAACGAAATCACTTCATGATAGTACAGACGTAACATTCTAAAATCGATTCCAATTAAAAGGCCTTACAATGCAGATAGAAACTTTATTAATATAAACCTATTTTATTATACTAATCTTCTTTGGCGAGGAAAATATTTTGCTTGTCATATAGGCCTAATTAAGATAAATAAGGCGAAGTTTTAAAAAAAGTAGTTTCTCGTTCTAATATTTTTCTAAAAAGGAGATTGAGGGCACTTTTTATTCTTTTTTTTTTATTCCGTAATGAAACAGCTACTACTTTCTCACTTTTACCACATTGGAAGCAAATAAAAGAAGCACTAGACATGATTAATACCATACACTGTAGGCCTATGTATCGCCAACCACGAACGATCAAGATAGGAAATTTACTGATGATTTTTTCGTAAAATAAAGGAAATAAAAAAATAATAAATAAAAAAATTGATGAGGCAGAGAAAATGTATGCGTGAGGGGACGAGAAACTTTTTTTTTTTATTTTGCCTAAATGTTTATTTTTTTTCTAAATATAGAAACGTTCGATCTTCTGCTTTAATCTAACCTCTAGCTGTAACCTACCGTATAGAAAAAGTAAAGTGATCTATTATATCATGTTGCTTACAAATAATTAATGTAAAATACACAGTTCATTTATTTTGCACTTGACTGAGAATAGACTTAGTAATAAGCCTATACTGTTTTGTGTAAACGGTTGATTAACCTATTGGTTTCAAAAACAATAGGCCTATACATAGATTAACACTAATACTAGTAGGTTACATGAAATGATACAGCTGCAAACGTGGATAAGATTACATGATTGAATGTTTTCAGTGTCCACGATGGTTTCATGCGTGTGATGTTAAAAATGCGCCTCCCACCTCCAATGCTACGCGGTTCTCCACGTCCCATACGTCGCAATATACCGTACCCACTCCATTCCATCCCAGATTTCAGGGAGCACATCACAACTCAGTAGTGCGATAATATGATATCATATTGTCGTATGTTTAACAATTTTCAATGAGGGGAGGGGGAAGGGCGTCCTACCGGGCCCCCTAATTTTTCGGAGGAACGTGCGCCCCCGCGAACTCTCTAGATACGCACTCTGTGTCTACAGTTGACTTCATTCAATCTGTTACCATGTCGACTGGTGGTTAACACAATGTAGACCCCTAGGCAAGAACGGGACTGTACATCTGTCCTTATGGAGATTTTGTTGCAAGTAAACTCATGTATGCTATCAAACGTTTATTAATGAGGCCTAGACTCATATTTTTTCCTTCACATAATTTCCATACTTACTGCACACTGAATAAACGGCAAAAATACGTCAACATCGGGGGTTTTATGGTCACATTATGGCATTTTCTATCTCTTAAAAGCCTGCGGTTTAGCAAGTATAGATTGTGGAAGAATAAATAAGTTACTTTTCTTTTGAGTTTTAGAAATAAAATACAATAATGGGAAACGCATGACTGCAAATGATGAAATACCTATTCATTTCATGGATGAAAACAGAATGTGTTTAGACCTTCAATGCATTCGCAGTGAATTAACCCCGTAATTGGGAGATTTATGATGAAGCCGACTATCATTTCCATGTCAACGGGGTAACAAGGGGTTAGTAGAAGCTTTCCGTTTATTGCCACGATGGGCCCGAATATATGTCTATACATTCTACATTCTAAACCAATTTATAAAGTTTTCAACAGCTAACTTATTTATCATTACTGGATCTGTGACGCTATCAAGCTCTGCAAATATGTCTTCTGTAGGAATACAATTACCACACATAGTTGGCAATTATCTTACGCCGGATAAGAGGTAGGCCTATTTATTGCTTTGTCAATGCTGTCCGATTTTATACCAATAGTGGCTAGCTTCAAAACTTAATTAGTATTGGTTAGCACGACCTGTCGACACGTCCCAAGGATCACATCGATTTTTTTCTATAGTATTACAAAAATAAACTCAACGTAAGTACACTGCCTTTGAAGTTCCGTGAAGGTCCTTGTGTGTATAGAATGAATAATAATAATACTACTAGTAGCATGTATACAGCACACACTTGTAATAATAATGCTGGATTTGAATAGTAGGCCTACCAGTACACCAACAGCTAACCGATGTTTCTATTATACTGGAAATTAATTTCATGTAGGGTAACCTAGGCCAGAAAGGCAAATTTAATGATAGGCCTAAGTCTAAAGATCCAAAAGAACGCCCAACAAAGTATGTCGAAAATATTTCGGTTTCGGTTATTTTCTATAAATTGAACTTAACAATTTATTGGCAAATACACCTCCAGTTACTGTATTATATTACTTCATACATTATATTTTCCTATGAAGATAATTTGAAATATATATTATATAATTATTATATAATACGTTCAGAATACTTCTTCAAAAGGTCAATTTTATTGTTAAAACTAAATTTGTATTATTGCAATCAATGAATACAGAAGTTAATATCAAGGAGGTATAATAATATACCGTACTGTAGATTGATTTTTTTTTCACAACTGACAATTTCACTCACAAGCCTTAGAACGAGACCAATTTATAGAACAACATCAAGTAGTCAGCTAAATCCTTTAATTATACGATCGGATGTATACATGCCGTACATAATTATATTATCAGTATACGGTAGGTATGATGATATGGTAAACATACATCAGAGGGCAAACAATTTCAGATTGTTCAAATCAACACCTACACCAATCCCACCGTGGGGAGTACGACACGCACATGATGCGGGTTTGGTTGATACACTAATGCTGTCAGAGATCTTAATAAGAGTTTTAATTTAATATTATTTCACAGTCGTTAAAATCATGAATGTATACCTTCCCCCGCCCCTTAAATCCGCCCCTGACATGAATGACAAATGGTCAAATGTGTATCCCGTTTCTAATTGGCTCGAGCCACCTAGATAGGGGCCCGGGATTGTGCTAGTGCAGTGGCAGACGAATTTATTTTATATATTCTTTATTCTATATTTTTATTTCTTTATTATTTTTATGATGTGAAGCGCACAAAAGCTTTGTCTTGCATTATGCACTATTCAAGTGTAACATTATTATTTTATTAAATAATAATAATAATATTATTATTATCATTATCATTATTAAAAATTTAATGTATGTTGAATTTTTGTCTCTTTTCAGTATTGCTGGAGGCGGTCCAACAAAATTCACAAATAAGAAAATTACACACGATAAGGTAAAAGTGGATTTGACCTCAGCACCTCCAATAAACCATCACCTTGGCAACGGTGCCAAAGAACCGAAGTCAAAAAGTCACAATCACCCAATAAGAAACAACGGTAGGCAAAAAGCCAATTCTCTGCCTTCAACCAGAGGAGCAAAAGGTTAGTATTATTAATAAAAATTACTTTCTTCATAGGTATTAATAATATATAGGCCTAATTATAACATTTTTGAAGTTATTTGATCATGTAAATTAAGATTGATAATAATAATCGTAATAATATTTAAAGTAATAGTCATAGTGGTAATAAAATAATAATTATTATAACAATAACTACAACGTTAATAGTAACAATAAAAATCGAATGATAATGCTGACGACAATGATGATAATAATAATGAATAACAACATAGCCACGGAACCGGGGGAAGGGGGTTAATAATAATAACTAGCACTAACTGGGATATAAGGGAAATATCTTTTGTGTTATTTTCCCCTTAACATCATGCTATTTCCCCTTAACGTCGTTTTTTAAATTGTTCTCTAATTTCTCCATTGTCTAACTTCCCCTTAAGATAGGTTTTAGTAACATAATTACAATAACAATAATAATAATAGCAATAACAGATTAACAATAACAATAATAATAACAATAATAATATTAATATAAATAACAGTAAGCCTAAATGCTTAGGCCTGCGGCCATTTTCATCTGATTTTGATGGTGATATTCCTCTATCAACACTACACATTACGGTACATGCTTATACATTTCTCGTTATGAACAATATATTTGATGTTATATCATTGTTATTCAATGTTCGCTCTTTTATAAAAGGTGTCTCGACGCGGCCAATAAACTCCGCTCCACATACTCAAAAGACGACCAATGGATCAGATGGAAAACAAGCAACAAGACGACATTTTCCGAAAATAAATGCATTTACGGAAGGTAAAAATAAACATTCGATAATTTCCCACTCACCTATCACACGTCATCATCATCATAATCGGCTATTAGGCTTGCTCTCTGTATTCATTAAAATTCTTTGGAGTGGTCCTTAGAGGCTATCTTTTCTTTCTATCAAAGATCGTACTTTTAAGATTTCTTCTTTTTTTTTGCTTTCATTCAGCTTACCATACTCCCTCGTGTTTGACCCCACTTAATGAAAACCTCTGAGAGTGAAAATCGCTCTTACCATGTTATAGAGGCCAAAAAGTAAAATCATTGTCAAAAAATAGTATTTTAGTTCAATTATTACATGTGCTTTATTGTGATAATTTTTTGAGGATGGTTATTTTATTAAATTTATAACGGATTATGTGGAGAATAGTCCTTGAATGTTGGGATTTATTCCTACATCACTTATAATTATTCTGTCCAACATGCTGTGGCATGACAGAGAGGTTCGAGGCCCCTTTGCTAAGGCTTCGGGGCTATATTATAACCTGGGGGTTTTTTTCAGTTCACTCCACTAAGGCAGGCTATGATGGACAAGCTTCTTTGTGGGTAAAAGCAAGATCTGTATCTGACAGATTTACGGTAATATGCTATATTAATTCCAGAAACTACTTAAGTTGTTCTGTGGCAAAAAACAAATATTTGTTTTGGTCTATCCTTAGAAAACGTACGTGGATTGAGCACAGCGCAGTTGGCACTTCGAGGAATGACTAATGGAAAACACTGGGCCTCAAGCATAGCGGATCAGCAGGAGGCGCACAGATTTCTAAGGGCTAGGTAGATTTGTTTCCAGACTCCTGCCAATGGCGGATCCTGGGGGTAGAGCAAAGGGGGCGTTCCCCTATCCCATACCCAACAGCAGTCAAACATTAGCAAAGTGGGAAAATCATTTAAATAAGAGAGTAAAATGGCTATAAGAGAGAATAGCTTCCTGGACCCCATAACAGGTAGGGGAACACCCATAATCCATTTTCTCGACCATAGATTCTAGATTGCCATTCGTGCCACCAATCCCAATCTGGATCCGCCACTGCCGGGCATTCACGAATTTAATAATTGTAAAATTCCTACATAGGCTTCTGTTGGGGAAGATAACAGAAAATCTTAATACGAAAACAGTACCTGTCTCTTATACACATCTAGATGTGTATAAGAGACAGTCTTAATATACACTAGGTAAATCAGAAACACAAAAAAAAACCTAGGCCTACACTACTACTAAAAATGAATACTGCACAAAGGTGAATTTTCCATGCAACATACTTGTTAGTCTACTTTCATTTTCTTCTGGATCCGCCACTACTGGGCATTTACGAATTTAATAATTAAAAACGTCTTAATATACACTAGGTAAATCAGAAACACAAAAAAAAACCTAGGCCTACACTACTACTAAAAATGAATACTGCACAAAGGTGAATTTTCCATGCAACATACTTGTTAGTCTACTTTCATTTTATAATTTAATTAGAAGTCAGTTAACATTTGGAAATGTTTGTTTTAATTTTTTTTTCTAGTGGTTCAAATGACAAACTAGTTCTACGGAAACAAAAACCTGAAAAATCACATTTAGAAGAAACACAAAGTGAAGGAGCTAGCGAAAAGCAAAAACACTCTCGCACTAAAACCGATCATGAGCAGACGGACAAACAAGATACAAACAGAATTAAACATGTCTATAAACTAGATATGTCGAAAGTTTCATCTAAAATTGATACTGGCCAATCAGTAAAGAAACCTGGAACGCCAAGGTCCTCGTCCTCGTGCTCTGAACAAAAACAATGGAAACGTGTTAAGACAACATTAGCAACCAGAAGACTAGCTTGGAAAAAGTTTAGAAGAAAAACTAAAAATCCGGCACGGATTTTCAGTCAGAAAAATGCGCAAACAGAAAAGCAACTCCAGAGTGTTTATAATAATAATACCTACAGAACACAGCGACAGACACGAGTTTTGAACAAGGTTGAAGAAGTTCAATACAAAAAAGTTCAGGATTTTAATAGAGAATCTACACAACGTGAATTTTTACGAACTAATAGTATACTAGCTCAGAGAAAACATTTAAAATTACTTCGCGATCGGTTCGACGCCGAGCAAGTAAAACGTTTTAAAAACCAATACGTGTCGTGGAAAGGCGTGGAAAACGATCGATTAGATAAAGGAAGCGAGGCCTACGGGCTACCGGATAATATATATTTGGATAGGTACAGTAAGGAAATACAGCCAGTCACGGCCAAGACTTATCCCAAGAAAACATTTAAAGCCATGGCATCACGCGTGCGCAATATTCAAAAGTTTCGACTCATATTAGATCCAAAATCAACTTACGAGCCTGAAAAAGTTTTAAAAGTTTCTAATAAGTTATTGATCGAAGGTATAGATACAGTGCAACTTCCTGAAACAGGTGAGTTACAATATTAACAATAACCTAATCATCATTCCCATCATTGTCATTATCACCTGACATCACCATCAGCCGTCATCACTCCCATTCTTACAATAACATCAATATGCTATGAAATAAAAACACTTTTTTCGTTCAGGGTTTATTATTCAATTCAATGACAATGAGTTATCGGTTATTCTCCTCCTTTACCTTTATGCTGATTTTTTTGTTTACAGATAACAAAAAGAAACACAAAAAGCCAACTAAAGTTCGTGCAGTTATAGGATCAGCAAAAAGAGTGATAATGGAAAAACATGATATTGGTAAGTAAAGTTAAGTAATCGGGGAGCATTTGCAATCGAGGGAAAGGAATTACCCAGTTAATAGCATGTGCTATGTGCATTCATCTAGGTCTATTATATAAACTCAAACAATCACAAAGATCGACGATCTAGGCGTATAGTGAGAATTCAGTCATTCTAATTCAACTACCTACTTCAACTGAGGTTTTGTTTGTGTTGAGAATTTAAATACGTATTGTATTAAACATGGTTTCTATACTCTGATTATGAACCAAAAAAGCATAACAAAAACAAAACCTACGGGAACAAGATATGTTTTGATTCTCACGCATGGCTGCAAGAAGGCTGTTTTTCGGGCAGAAATAGAGAATGACGTGTCCTTGCAAGTTTCGGGCGGGACGATGGATATTTTGTGGATTGGGGAGATAAGGTCATTCACCTTTTTCAATTCAAATATCTGAAGCTGTATAATACATTGGAACAATAAAAATGGAAAAACATACATATGCATATGCGGTACATATTTATTATAATAGCATGATTAACATCTTCTCTTAATCATTTCAGATGCAATAAGTGAATTGTCGGAAGGAGAATGGGATGACCTCTCATCACTTGACCTTTCAGATAGCGAAGCAAATTAAAAAGCCAAGAAAAAAAACTGACAAATGCTGCTTTTGAGAAAACTATACTTCTATATCATAAAAAGTATTCTCTACAAATACTGTTGAACTTTTTTCATACAGTAAATCTACTGTTCTGTTAAAACTATCACTGACGTCAGAGTCAAGGTACTATAAGATATACTATTAGTAAGCTTTCGATTGCATGACAGCAGGACCTAGAACATAATGACGTCACTAATAGGTCATGCACGTTGAGTTCTTCTTGTTGCCGGGATTCTAGGATGCAGTTTGCCCCAAATCTATGTTGTAGCAGAGAATGCAGGACAGTCGCCAATGAGTGAATCCATTCTAGATTTACGTTGTCGTACAAATCGCAAACTCTATTAACTTAAGAGATATAACCGGACATTTTTTTGTCAATCAAACTTAACAACTGACCAATCAGAATAGGCCCAGGAAAATGCGCATTTCCTCCCATAGACATTGTTCCCGTAAATTTTAGTTGTTGTTTAATAGGGCCTCAGCAACATCAATATCCCGGGGGTGGTTGGGGGCTTTGCAGAAAAGTCTAGTGACATCAATTCCAGTGACATCAAACTACGCATCGAAGCATCCAAATTGATCTTATACTTCTGAACACTATCACTCTCATGCTAATTTAATATATTTTAACTTAATCATAATGCTCTTTTTTTAAGCCTGGTGGTTATTTCAACTCATTTAAAAACTCATGCCATGATGACCTTTCTTATTCTGAAATAATGACGTTGAAAAAAATGTAACATAGTTTATAATTACACTTCCCATAACAATAATAGAATGAAATAATAAAACATTACTAAAAATCCCTTTTAAGAACTGTCTAGACTAACAAATTTTTTTTGAGAAAATAGTCATGATGACATCACATCATGACCATATATAGGCACATCATGACTATATATGGGCATACAATAGTTTCTTGTCAGAGAAAATTTGATATTCTGTACAGAGCAATGGTGGTTCAAACTGTGCCATTCGTAATTGGGAGCTTTCAATTGGTCGACAAAGGTAGGGCGTAGAACATAGAATGTAATGACGTCACGAAATGTCCTCTGCGCATGCGAGAACATTAAGTTCTTCTCGTCGTGTGGATTCTAGGATGCAATTTGGCCAAATCTATGTATGCAGCAGAGAACATAGGATGCCCCGGCAGGATAGTCACTTCTGTCTGGGAGAATGTAGACCACTGCAGAAAACCTGCAAATCATGTGTCTAATTTTATATACAGTTAATACAGGATTATAAAAATACTGAATAAAGTTTTTACCAAGATGAACAAAATGTAGCTAGCATTTTGTATGTGATGTTGCAATGCTTAATTTTGAGATAGCCAAGCATATATAGTATGGTGCCCTCTATGCTTCAGCTGGTGCTGTTACGTATACAAAAAGATCAAATAAATGCACAGCCACAATCAGATATATAAAAACTGTGATTTGTCCTATAACTGAAACCCACAATACTAGCATGGGTTTAAAATGCTCATCACAATCTCTTAATAAGTACTCAGGCACCCCAACATAGCATTCAATCCCATAGCATTAACAATGCGTTGCAGGTTATAAATCGATAAATAATCCGTTAAAAAGAACCGAGTACAGGTAACTGATAATTGCTTCCTGAATTTCAATCCCACATTGCTGAGCAGTTCTATTTTCCACAATGTGGTGCAAGGCCAGAAAGAATTTGCACATCATACACTTAAATCCTCCTTCATATAATCTTATATTTTAATTTATGTATAAAAACATTACATTCTATTTTCATTAACTTTTCTGAGGTCATTCATCTACTATTATTATTTCCTCTGGTGTTTTTCGGCTTCTTCCGTTTCTTTCTACTGTCATCCCCCTGGAACTCCTTTTTGAGTAGTTGTAGCATCTCTGGGCTTATAACACCATTGTTGATTAAAGTTTCGCTCAACTTAGATGACAAGCCTGACCCCAAAGAGGTCAAGCTATCATCACTAACATTTGGAGATGGCTCTGAAATAAAAATTTTCATTAGTAAGGATTTTGAAATTTTATTTTTCATAATAATAATAATAATAATAACATTTATAAAGCGCACATATCCACTGCAGTAGTGCTCAAGGTATTCATAAAATACATCCCTAACAACAATAGGAGACAATTAGAAGTGCAGACTAAAAGATATTAAATGAACAAACTAACTTACCCAAATATAAAATACAAAAAGAAATTACACATCAAATAATTATTACAATTTAAAATACAGTTTTACTTACCTCCTTTCTTGCCAAGAGCTTTTTTCCTTTCAATTTCATCATCTGGAAGATTTGCAATGTCATCCATCTTCTTCTCACTCGCATGAATCAGTTTTGTGATGTGAATGACGCCTTGTTTGATGATGTCATCCAACTCTCGTTGAATTTCTCGCACCATATCACCATGTGGGAACATATCCATAAAACGATAACTAAAAAAAAGGAAGTATTTTCCGTCACTGAGTTGGCAGGATTAAGTAAATAGATATTATTAAAACGTATGATAGATTTTTTACGTACCTAAACCAGAGGTAAACATCCATGACATCGTGGACAGCTTCTAAATGCATCAAATCACGAAGGTTGCGAGGAACAGCCAATGGCCAATCAATTTGATGACAGAACCAATCAAACGTTAATGCTTGGTTTTGACTGTATCGCCTTGCAAACTGAAGGTTAACAAAAATGATGACATCAGAGTAAAAACAAGCAGATTCACTTTTGAAATGTGAAAGATGAATTCATATTTGGTCGTTGTTAATGGTTAAAAAGTATTTACAGGCATTGAACATTTTTCAGTAGCATATTGTATATGTAGAGCACACAATGAGAAGTTAGTCCCATCAATTTAAATAGGCATGAAACACGTCCATACATTTTTTACCAAAAATCACACTGCCTAATATAACTGAATCACATCTGTAATTTCAATCAATGTACAGTATTATTCAATCGATCGATCAATCACTCAATCAACAAAACATTTATTATCCATGATATCTTCAACTTGTTGGCTTCACAAATTATGCATCTTTCTCATCTTCTTTGTGATGTTTACTGCATATACAAATTTATAATGTGTAATGTGTATGTGTGTAATGTGTTTATCTCATTTCTTACCTTAAGAAAAGCAGTGCAAATGAAAGCATGTTTCTTGTTGATTGGAGCACAACAGAAGACATAGCGTGTACGCAGATTTAGAGCAATGTGTTGGATCATGTCTGCGAGGAACTTGAAGTCATCAATATTACAAACAAAATAGTTACTATCTACCTTTGATAGACTGACAAAGATATCCTGAAAACGGTAAAGAAAATTCAGCATATATAGTACACATATTTTTAAAACACAAAGAATTGAAGTAAGGTCAGGAGTGAGTGAATAATTAAATATCTTCCAGCATATTTATAATCCAAAGGGGAGAAAAAAAGACAAAACAGATCCCAAAACAGAAACCTGTACAAAGCTATGTTCTTTTGAGGCGGCTAATAAAAGCCAAACTTACAATCAAATTGGAAAGAGTAGCATCAGGAAGATGATATGCAAACAACTCAATTTGCTCTGCTGTTGGATGCAGTCCACATGCTTCAATCTGCTCAACTTTTGTGGCTAGAATTTCCTTCAAAATGGGAAGATCACGATCATGAAATGTTGTAGCTTCCCCCTGTTCGTAACTCAAGCCATAGCGACCGGCACGGCCTGCAATTTGCAGGGCCTGGGACGTGGATATCTTATCGATCTCTTTCTCGCCATCTTCTTTTATCATTGGTTTGGTGACCGAGTAGAAAATTACACGCCGGATACTCCTATAGAGAAATGGTCATAGTGGAGTCACGAGTTGCCTTGCAAAACAATAATAATAAAGATAATAATAACAATATCAGATTTCGCCAATGATGATAACAATAACAATAATATAGGAGTGATATCCTGCCCTACCAGACGTGTCGTCATATCTAATACTCAATACATTCCCAAATGATTGCGTAAATAAATTTGCAAGTGATTCGGGTGGGAATCGAACCCATGACCTCTATATAACTAACCTCCATAACCACTAGACCACTGAACTTGCACATAGTGACTAGTGTTGAATAACAGTAATATTGGTAAGAGAACTAAACTGTACTTACAAATTCAAGCCCATTCCAATAGCATCAGTTGCTACTAAAATTTTACAGGTATCTTCAGGGTCATTGAACTTCTCAGCTTGGCCTAATTTTGTACCTACATATTAAAAAAGGTAATTATAGTACAACACCTACATACCTTATTAAAAAACATTGTTGAAAATAGTGATATGGTACATGTTTCACAGTTATAATTTTACCTCTGCAAAGGAGGTTATTGTGAGATCGTGATCATTGTGGCTTAGAGGACTCACAATCATTATGGTTTTTACTAAAATGGTTGCTGTTTCTAAATATTTGCCAATGCGTCGTTGAAAACTTACCGTTCAAGCAGAAAACTATATAATAGAAGTGTCCATACTATCTAGCATAATGTGGAGGTAAGTCAGGTAAAGGTAGGAGAATAACCCATAAAGCCGCAGGGTCATTGTGCTGAAATAAGCATTTTTTTTTCTTTTTTTCTAAAATGCGTCCGACAGCCAGTCGCGTACTTTTTCCAGCCCTGGTAATTATTGTACCTACTGTACATGTTCACATCATTCCACAACAACAGAGGATGAAATGAACCACAGCATCGGGGTAATCCTCTAACTCTTCTGAAAGATGCAATAGGTTCTTTAAAAGAGCACACAAGCCAGATGTGTACACTGGACCTCCATTTTAAGTGCTTTTCTGAGAAGACTTGGTTCTACCAACTGAACCCTAGGTGGGGTGCGGCTCAAACTGTTAAGGCACTAACTAGTCAGCAGCACCCACTCAACTCATATGCACACTATAAAGTGACTGCACTCTAGTTTAATAATTAAAAGCACACTAACCTGGTGGAAGACTTCCATATATAACTGCACATTCGTGACCCATTTCTTCCAATTTTCGACTCAAGTAAAAGATATCATTCTTACTGAAAGCAACGATGCAATCACCAGGACGTATATTCTCCAAGCTGTCCAGAGACTTGTCCAAGATCTTTAGTGGCGTCAGTCTTTTGTAACGACGCACTTCAATGGACTCTCCAGTAGACGTCAGCAGCTCTCTTAGGAGTGGAATGGCAGCCTCTTCACCACAGAGGTGGATCTCCTTTGCGTTGACGCCTTTAACCAAGTACAAAAAAATAAAATTTTAAATGTATATTCATATTTTTAAATAAACAAAATAAAAATACTATGCACAAAAATAAATGACAAGTTCAAAAAGGATGCAAACCTGACCTAACAGGGCACGTGTCCATGCCCAACCTCGACTAGGATCACGCAGCATCTGGATCTCATCGATCACAGCCACTTCATCTAAAGTGAATAAAAAGCTTATACAAATAAAAATGCAAGTCAAAAACAAATCATCATACTATAGTGGATAGGCGGATAGGAATATTTTTGGTGTGAATCACACCTAGGATAACCCACTAAGTTTGAAGACTTGTTTGCAATGGGGTCCTTTTGGTGGTGATTGGGTAGTACACCGGGAGACAATTCCTTATTCTTTTCCAAAGAGTGTACTGTATTCTTTATTGTGCACATGGGCCATATTGCACATGGGATAAACTGCTTAAATGCCTTACAGAAAAGACGGTGCATTATCTGAACTTGCATTTCAGCCTTCCAGCTGAAACATAAGGAGAGCAGTGATGGGAATTGAACCGGGGACCTAGAGATCTCCACAGTTCAGCGCACACACAGTGGCTACCACCAGTTTAGCCAACTGAGCTAAGCTGCTATCTTAAATGCTTATTACTAAAAGTACATTATAGCAATAAATGGAGGACAAGTTTTTACCACTGTTCTACATTATGGTAATTATTGACATTTATTATAAAATTATCATATGCATAGTTGCTAATGATAGTGTTAATTATTCAAATTTGTATCTTACAAGGTTGTGTTGTACTGGTCATCTCAACTGTACACGCCACATGACCCGAGGGATGACCATCAGGGTCAGCATACCGCCTCTCTTCCCCTGTTATAAGGTCACAATTTACACCCTAAAAAATTAAGGAAAAAAAAATTACAAAATTAAAGCAGGCTCAACTCAAATAATTATTTAAAGATAGGGGACTGTTCCCATTTTCGAGAATGAATTGAGATAATTGATGAAGTAGCAAACAACTGATAAACTTTAAGCAATCACGACAATATAAATGATGCTCATGCCAGGCATGTATGCCTAAGTTTTAATTAGCCATAGCCATTGCTATGCTCACTGAAATAAACATGTTTCGGCAGAGTCAACTGCCACTATGAGTGTGAAGACTGCAAGCAATCTTATTTATGAGAGAATAGTTTCACACAGAAATTGATTGAGTAAATAATAAATAATATATAGACAAGAATATGTAAAAAAGAAATGAATCAAACTGACAATGTTAAATTAACTTAAAATGACAAAGTTAAATTATAAACTTAAAATTACAGCAGAGGTCCCAAGTTGGTAGAGTGAAATTTCTGGGTAATTTTTCATTTATTGAAGTTTAATCTACGAGTACTTTTTCTGGATTATTAATTATACATATGACATGTTAATTCAACGTGTGTCATGCCGCTACCAAAATCCATTACAAATATTCAACAGAAACAGTAGTTTTTTTAAGTGGAAAGTTCATTTTCAGGTTTTATTGAATTTATCTGGTGATGCAAAGGCTTGGCTTAGAGTTGTAAAGAACTTATATGATAGAGACAAATTTTTAACTTTTGAAAATATACACTTAGGAGCAATTTTAATATTCATAATGAAAATTCTATTTTTTCTGGGAAAAACTGTAAAAAATCTGTAAAACCCGCAAATTTCTGGGAACTTGGGAGGTTTGATTACAGTACTCATTTATTAAAGCTATACAGTACTTCTTTAAATATAATTAATAAAGTATAAACTTTACAACCTACACTATCATTGGTTCGTTTATGTACTTCATTTGCTAGCAGTTTCAAAGGACCACAATAGACCGCTGTTTCTGCTTTCGAAAAACTCTCGAGGGCATGGTAGGTTTTGCCACTGTTTGTTGGACCAGCATGGAAGATTATTTTTCTCTCAATAGCCCTTGCTTCTGGATACCTTAAAACCAAATTAAGTTACAATTTTAATTTCGAAAGTTCCTTAAATGCAGATGCTCCTCACTAGACAAGTTTCTTTACATTTTTTAATAACTTATTTACTTTTTAATTTTTTATAATCATTTTTGTATAATTACTGATTGTTTATGTATTCCTAGGAATTAGATAAAAAAATACAGTTAATAAATGAAATGCTTTCAATTTTCAAATACCAATTGGCTGGATCAGTCAGGTCACTAATTTTCTTTAAGTCTTCAATACAATCAAGGTGCGGGAATACACATCTTGCATGTTCAAGAAAATACGGTAGAATGTCATCTACATGACCTCCGCCAACCAAGATATCACTTAGCACGATATGCAGATCAGGTTCTAGTGTTTCAGAATCTGCAATGTACTTTCTAAAGCTAACGAACGCTTGATGAAACAAATGATCTGAAGGGGAAGAACCAAAACATAAAATTCATTTCTGTGCAGTAGCAGCCAAAAACAAAGAGGTTAATAAAAATGCATTACTTTTTATTTATAAATTCAATGAATAATGTATATAAGTACCTTGTTAAAGCACACTTCAAGATCTGCGCGAGGAATATATCTCCTCGCAAACATTTGGCCTAGAAATCTGTCCACCCATTTTGGAAAGTAAGGGCTGGTTTTTCTGAAATTAGGCTTTGTGTGACCTAAACTTAATATAACCAATGTATTATGCAGCAATTATGATTCTGCTCACCTATTTTCCTAGCGATTTTCCGCACAAATTTTAGTTATTTTTTGAGGTATTAATATCCACACAATTAAAATACTTTACAGTATGGGTGCACTTTACTTGCAGTTACGGTATGTTCAAAAGGTTGTAAAATTAGAGACTTGTTGGTACAGTACTTGAGTAAAAAATTCAGAATAGACCCCTAGGAATTACAGCAGCCACAGTGACACTCCCCCTTCCCGGTGGTGAAATTTGCAGTACATTAGGGAACAAATGCTTTATTTCATGAGTGTGTACACATTCTTCCCCATGCACATGCCAATCAAGATGGGGAGATTTTAATAACCAAGGAATATTGTTTGGTGGGTGAAGCATCTAACATCACTGATTACCATCTAAACCATTCTCAGAAGCAACAGCTTTGATTTCTCTCCTTTTTGAAAATGTCAGCAATAAGTCCATCAGCTCATCTATAAGACAACAAAAAAGCAACATTTCTGATACAATGCAAAATAAAATAAGACCCCACTATGTTAATATTAATTGTTATTAGGTTGATCTATCCAATAAAATAAAACAATGCATTGTGTTATTGGCTTATGATGTTGGACGTGCTGAAAAAAATGAAAGAATCATGTGTATCCTTGCTGCTTTCAAACAAGTTTAAAGAATGGGCTTTGCATTTTCAAATTTACGGCGATCTCAATGTCTGATCCAATCAGTTGGAAGAGTTTAAAGTCTGCCAAATTCGAAGCCAATTCCTTTATATTTTGTAAGCATTTGGTTTTTGCAAGGTTGTTTTTATGCAGTTAAAATAAATGATGTGCCAAAAAAAATAAAATAAAATAAAATTATTCCTGCATCAATATTTCGAAATTGTTGACGCAGGCAGGAGTGATAATCTAATACATTTTTCTTTTTGCCCTTAATTAAAGTGAGACAAAATGGAATCGAACAAGTATGAAATGCTGCATTTTCATTTTGGAGTTGATTTAAGTTGTGAAAATGATATTAGGACATGGGCACCACCAGGGTTACTGTACTTATACTAGGCCTATCATCAATTCTGGTCCTCCTGTCCTACCTTTCTTTTTCGACAAATCCGTTCCAAATTCTTCTCCAATGTTTATGTCATCTGGGTTACTTGCTATTTTCACTGGGACTGGAATGAACAGAGCTGATGGATTTTTCCCATTCTTTTTGTTAGTGTAATAGCGGACATTCCCATTCCCTTCCTTTATATATGTTGACCCGGTTAAACGTTTTGCAAGAACGCCGCATGGCGGTCTCCTCGTCGCCGACTGGTGTTTCGTTTTAGGCCTAGGCCTGCTATTGGTACTTACAGTGCTAAACAACTTAAGCCTAGGCCTAGAGCTGAAATTGCTAATTTTCAACGGAGTTGATGGTGTGAATGATGATAACAGTCTATCTAGACATCTAACGCATAAATTAGCATTCATTGCATTGCGTTAATTTTTATTTTTCCACGATTTTCCACAATTGTTTACTCACGACCTGGAAAATCCACATGCGTTCACTGTATGTACTGTAAAGTCTAAAACATGGATTATAGTAAACTGCGGTATGCGGCTAGTGTAAAACACGAACTAAAATTCGTGCGGCTCCCACAAACATTATTCGAAAGGAGATCTAAATTAATATTCAGGCCTACGTGTATTATTATTTTTATTATTAAAAATATTATTATATCAGTGATTATTTCACCTACCGGTGATTATTTTACCTATATCATATTTGATAATATATAGGCCTACTGCATAATAATATAGGGAGACGAAAGGGCTAGCCTATAAGAATGGCACACTACTTATACGCTCGAACTGTCCGAATACGAGAAAGGACTTTAACTATTAATTCAAGAATTCCATACTTTTTAACAACAAAAATATAATAGGTTTGTGTAAATGTGGTTCCGAATTAAAATAATATAATATGATGCACACGGACAGACTAGCGAAGCATAGTTACCAATGAAACACGCATTTTGCAGAAACGCGTCATCGTAAATTTTCCCGCATTTACTGTATAGCACACGTCTGACTATGCGTGATAACGAATTTTCACGAATTCAGGGGGGAAATGTATTTAAAATTAGAAGGAATTAACAATATAAAAATTACTTTGAATGCATTTAATAAAAACATAATTTTTTATTTATTTTATTTAAGATTTTTATGCATTCTCCTTCCTTTATAGGTCGACTAGGACCCCCTGGAAACAAGCTTTCGAGCTTATAGGGTCATCCTCTTGCCCACCGCCGCCAAGTGCGAAAAAAATTTCCCCAACCGGGATTCGAACCCTAGAATCTCTGCTGTTTGCGCAGACGCCTTAACCAACAGGGCCATTGTAGCTTTCATTGGAAGTTCAAATCCGATTGGAGGAAATTCATTTCGCACACGGTATATAACACGTGAAGACCATATTGTCTTTCAGTAATGCTATAGGCCTTTATACATTAATTTAAATTTTTAACGGTAAAGAATAAGTCTGTATAGGCCTAATATACAAATGTTACACGAAAGCATGTCAAATCAAAATCGTCATGAGGTAATGTTTTGTGTATAAATACATACATGTATTTATACAAGGTATGTAACGGATGAGTACTCAGATGTATTGAATTTTGACGAAACAGTATAGTATCATTCCACAAAATTTAGACTATCCCTGTATCCAAGGTGTAGTCGAGGTATTCGATGTAATACATTCTAGTGTTTCCTATGCATTCCATTTCGAAGAACTCAGGGCAGGGACGTAGCCAGGATTTTGAAAGGGGGCAGCCGTTATGCGAGATACTTACGACCCCTGCGGGGTCCAGGGGACGACCCCCCCCCCCTGTGAAGTAGCGCACTCTGAACGTTTTAAGGACTGTTTTGAGAGGATAAAGTGACAATTGTATTAGACACATCCATGAATTCGAAAGATAGGTGTCGCAGGGAGGGATTTTCACAGATCGAGGAACCACCCACCTCAGCCCCACCATAGTTGAGGCTGAGGTAAGAAAATTTATGATTAGGGCACCTCTAGATGGCCGGAAATTACACTTTCATACTTAAATTTGAATATATTTTCCTTCTTTTTTTTCCTCAAAAAAAAAAAAAATTATTATCTAAAGTAGTCATAATCACGAAAATGGCATGAAAAACCAGATCACATTCTAAAAACAAATTTATGCCCCCTCTTCTCAGCAGTCACAAGACATACTTTGAATCAGGTGCCGACTCGATGTAGTTTAATGTCATACCCAGAAGGCGCAGATCTGTTTTGTAAGGTTGAGGGGGAGGACATTTTGTGAGTCGGCACCTACCTCAGACTCACCATGGTTGGAGCTGAGGAGCGAAAATGTGAGGAAATAGTACCTCTAGCTAGATGGCCAGAAACAACACTTTTAGTAAAATTCATTATTATTCATTACCGTTACCGGTAGTCCAAATGAAGCGCCAAAAAATCTCAAGGTCTTTTTTATCAGGGATTTTCTGCAACCAAAAAGATCTTATTAATGTGTGTGATATACCATACAAAACAAAGCTTAAAAACATTGTCTTTGAGTGTGTTCTTTACAAAACCATAGTTGGGGCGGAGGTGAGAAATTTGAGGAAGTAGTACATACCTCTATATGATGGCCGGAAATCACACTTTCACGTAGTAAAATTCATCATCATCACATCACCATTACATAGTCAAAATGGAACGCCAACAAATGTCTCATGTACTTTATCAGGGATCTACTTTATATCCAGGACAACTTGACCTAACTATAATTTACTGTATAAGCTTTAACTTTAATATAATCAACAAATCACAACTTTATTTTTTGCCTTTAGCACAATTTCTTTCACATTTTAATATTATTAATATTACTATCAATTATCACCACCACCGCCGCCGCCGCCGCCGCCGCCGCCGCCGCCGCCACCGCCGTCCATTTTTTTGTCCAAATCTTTCCGATGAACACATGCAAAGTATACGAGTTCGGTATATTACACATTATTTTCACATGTTTAATTGTGTTTATGATGTTATTACTTAATTAATAAAACTACTTATTATATCAAAGGCGTGATTTAGAATTTATCTTTAGAATTCGAATGTTTTTGCGCCTGCTCACGCGCGCTTGATAATTAAATGCGAATTAAATGGAATTGCATAGAAATTATAATTGGAATGTTAACGTTCGTCTATTTTAATCTATGACTGAAAAGACTGCCTTTCTTGTCAAAAAAGGTAGGCCTATGTTTTGCTTTTCGCTTTGGCCTACACAATATCAGTTTATATATTGCGGCCAACTGACCTTTACTATTTTAATATTCATATATAATAATAATCAAATTAATAATACCAGATTTGTATAGGGCTCGCTCATATTTAATTTTAAAGAAAAACAACCTAGATACCCTATTTGGATAAAGCAAATTTGCAAAATTCAAGAAAAATACTATTATATTTTCTTATTTTATTATCGTTTTTCCCACAGAAATTAAATAAAAAGTTATATATAAATATATATATATGTAAATATATATATAGAGCTTTATATATATATATAGAGCTCAGTCAAATAAATCACAAATTAACATGGTTTTTCATGTAATATTTATTCATCTTAATTATTCCTATCAATTTAATAATGTTTATAACATAAATGCATGCCCTTTGAGTGTGGGAGGAAATCGAATGACGCGGAAAAACCCACGACAGTGCGATAAAATACATTTTAAAGCGGTCATTCATGTAAAATAGTTAAGTCAAATATATCACAAAATAATATTTATTCTCCTTAATTACTCCTGTTAATGATTTAATAATGTTAATTTAGATTATAAAATTCATAACCTTTGAGTGTGGGAGAAAACCAAAGGACTAGGAGAAAACCCACGACAGTGCGATAAAATACATTTTAAAGCGGTCATGTAAAATAATTAGTTCAGTCAATTAAATCACAAAATAACATGGTTGTTCAAACAATACTTATTTACCTTAATTATTCCTAATTATTAAGTAAGGTTAATTTACAATATACATTCATGATCAATGAGAGTGGAAGGAAACTGAAGAACTCTGAGAAAACCCACGACAGTGCGATAAATACATATTGAATTGTATCAACACTGCCCTATAATTCTTCATGCAGTATAACATTTAAGATGGTATATAATGTGATAAAAGCATAACGAATTTTAATTCAATAGTGACAACAGGCTATACATTTAAGCCTATATAATAGCACGTAATACAAATAGCTTGCAAATTTTTAATAAATTATACAGATAGCCTATCAACAACATCACAAAAAAAATCAGTAATTCACACTGTTTTGTTGTGAGACCAGTTTTAAAACTTCGTTTAAACAGGTAATTTTATTATTATTATTTGATTGGAAGTAGTATCAAGAACATCCTTATAGTTAGAAAGTAAAAAAAATCAATTAAAAATGGTTGATCGTTACATTAATCATAATCAATCATTTTGAAATACAAAACATTGCCAATTATTAACGGACATTAAAGTATCCAATTAATTGTCAATACTATACGTCATGAAATATTCATGCATAAGGCTGCACCACTTCACAACCCTTTAACAGTGCAAGCTGGATATCGGTCGAGAATAATGGTCAAAGTATGGTTCAAACTCCCGATAACGAGGTTCAGAACACGAATGTAATCGCTGCGCCAAACTGTTTTCCACTTCGACGTGAATTTACTATATGCATGCAACAGTGTATTTTATTTATGATGTGTACGGTACGTATTATGTTTACATTGTGCGAATGTAGATTTTTTTATACTTTACAAATTACAAAGATAGAATGGTTGCAGCGTGGCTCCGGCTGATGCAGCAATGGTCACATTCGAACTAAAGATATGCCTGCCGCTCTTGTAAAAATAAAAAGTTATGGAGAAATTAAATAAATTTTGTAGGCCTATGGGGACAGCAAATGAACGCAGATCTTTTGATATGTGAATCAGATCAGTTAAATGAATTACAATTCATTCCTTTCTCATTTACGAAATCAGTTTACCTTGCTCTATCTTAGCTACACTTTAATACTACTTCCTAAACTAAACTACATCCTTAGCTACAACCTGAACAATGTCTTAACCAACCTAGCTTTGAACAGTGGCAGGACCAGCATGGAGAGGTCAATCTCCCTCGGACAGACCAAGTTCTCTTCGGACAATTGTCGGACCTAAACAATAAGTATGTTTTACTCGCTAATTGTCTTCTTTTTTTTAACGAGTAAAATAGGTTCTAAATCATCTCAGAACCGCTTTAAATTGCTTATTTTCATTAGGGAACAGAGACACATCCTGGCACCGCCACTGACTGAACCACTTAACTAGGCTTATCAAACTGATCCGATTTCGATATGAGAGAGGATGGAATAGTTAAAGCCTGGTTAGAAAGGGTAAAAGTGAATGTGCAGTGCAGGCCTAATACAAAAAGAAAAAATTTTAAAAACACAATAAAACACAAAATTATAAAAAAATTGACTAGATCTGCGTTCAAGAGATGTTCTA